AGAGTAGCTAAAAGGGGCCCTAAAAGAATAACTTGGAGAAAAGTCTAAAATTCAAAAGTTCTTGTTTTAAAGTAAGAAAAACCATCGGGGTGCCCACCAGACTCTTGTCCATTTTATAAAATCCTCTACTCTGCTAAAATCCTCACCCTCCACCCCACCCTATCCACGAACTCACGCTAACCCTCTTTTCTGACCGTTCAGATCCATTCCCCAAACGGATGCTTTCCCAATGACGTCCACCACCAAAAAGAAAACCTTTTACTCTCCCCACCCAGATTTCTCGTCGTTGAATAAATAAAAAATAAAATTCGGGAGCCACGGCCTGTTCGGGCAAAGTTTATAACCTAGCTAACGCCTAATCAAGGCTTAGTTATGGATTATGTAAAATTGAATGAATTCGTGGTAAGCAATAAGAGATTAAAAATCGCCACGCCTTTAAAGAAATCCTGTGACATTGCAACAAAAGTTATCGTACAATGGCCACTCTTTCTAATATCGCAAAGAAATGAAAAAAAAGAAATTTCAACAGCCTTCTGCAAACGACTCGGAGGTCCTTTAGATGTTTGATTATACTCTGAGCAATAGAGTGCCACAATGCATTGGGAGACGGCTTTTTTGCAAAGATTCTTGTCGCATATAAACGGTTGGCAACGTGGTGATGACGGCAAATTCAAAGAGCATCAACATATAATTACAGATAATCCCTGTTTTGGGTCGCTCACCCAGACTTCCTACAATACAATTAGATTCCTCGCCCACCTCCACAAAAAAAATAAAACAGAAAAAAATATATATCGCACACTAAACGCAACGATATGGAGGGTAATATACGCAATCACATTGTGCCAGCCAAAAATCCCTTTCCATGATCCATCCAGACACCTGTGCCTTCACTCTCGAGCCCAATCATAATTACTAGGGCAAGATGTCCTCCTCGTATACTCCTCCTTCATTATAGACAATATCTTTTTCCTCACCATGCACCATGCACCATGCACATAAAACAGGAAATGTGTGAACCCGTTAGAAACCATGTCGCGTGGTCTCCACGCCGGTCATTGGATCTCCGCTCGTATTTGCGGAGCCACCAGGTTCCCAGTCCATGTCCATCGTATCTATCTTTGGAGATGATCCTGCAGAGTACGACTTTCCATTGGATGCAGCTGCCCCAACAACACCTTCCAGACTTCCAGCTCGTCGGGAATAATCCGTGTCCGGCGTCCAATTTGAATGTGCGAGGAACATTGGCGGTAATTTGGAAACGGGGGCAGAGGTAGCGGAATTGGTGGAATCATGAGAAGGGGAAAAGTGGTGATGTCCGTGAGAGTGATCGGGTTTGGGTGGAGGCAGAACAAGTCCTTCACGAGGACTACCGCTTCGGGCAGCTCCGTCGATGAGCCCGATCGGCAAGGACCTGACACTTGGTGCTCTCAGGGGCGTTGTGTTTTGAGGTCGTGCTTGTCTGTCAATATCAGGAGGTGCAGTCATGACGGAAAAGGCCGATATAATGGATGGAGACCGATGTAATTGTGGTGGTGATGCCCGAGGAGATCCGCTGTGTGCACGATTTAAATTTGCACTTCCGTGGGACGTACCGGACATGTTGGGACTTTGGGACGGAAATATATTTGCATCCTGCTGCACACCAGGCATGACTACCTGGTATCCCTTATGGATGTTGTCGTTTAAGGTGTCCGATCGCTCGCCTTCATCCGGTCTCCCTGAACTGCCAAAAGATCTAATTGACTGATTGTCCATCGACAATATCGACTGATTATCGTAGGACCGTGTGTCATATGATCGATATGAGCGCCCGTCGTCCATGGAGCTGATGGAATAAATGCTCATCTGCTTGCCAGAATCATGGGACGGTCTCGGGAAGTCATCATAGGAGCGCTTATTCTGGGCTGTTTCATAACGATATGGCGAGGCATCCCGATGATGCCGAGGTCGGTGCTTGGAAATGGGGACGTATGTTGGACGGAATTCCGAGCTGGACTGCGATGCTAGCGAAGCGGCACTAAAGGACGAGACGGAGGATCGTATCGATGAGGCGGAAGATTGCGGGTGTTCAGGCATGAACTCTGGGTATATATCGGTAGAAATAACCACATCAGCAAACATGGGCAGCTCGGCAGGACTTTCGAGTTTCTTTGTTTGCAGCTCCTCTCGAGTGTAGTACGAGACCAAATGCTGTTTCCGACCATCGGATGTGGTGATGGAGATGGCCTTTTTGGTCAAACCATCCTCTTTGATGACGTACTCTACTTTTTCTTCTGCCGCACCGGGCATTTTATGCTTCCGGGCTTCCACTTCACGGTATATCAAGAAACTGCCGTTGATACGGCTCGGTGACCAATGCTTTCCATCAGTCCATCTGATTGATAAAAATTTTGATTGAGATAAATTCAGCACGGTGAACGTGGGAAATGTGCCCATAACACACCTTTTAATTCCACTTTCTTCTTCGTCCCAGACAAAGACTGAACCAGATCGAACATATGCAAGACGCTCGGACTCTGACAATCTTCTTTGAACTCTTTTGAGGCGCTGGAGACGACAAGCCTCAAACAAGAGTAGAGCGTCGTTCGGCGAGTTTACAAAACCGTGAAAACTCTCCATTGTCATTTTAGACAAGTTCGTTGACAAGAATTTCAATTCCTGTGGAATCGCTCACTCATGCAACAGATGGACGGCTGGTTACCGGCAAAAATTATAGGAATTAGCCACTGTGCCAAGCAAGCAGGACTAAACGGTGGCGCAGGTGTGAATTCCCAGCATGCAAAATGAGACTGCGCAAAAGCACCTTTCAGCGAAGAATAAGCCGCCGAGACGGCAAAAGCGAGTAGGAGAGGAAAAGTGCCTGTGCCGACAAAAAGAGTGCAAATGACATTCATTGTCAGACATGAGACACTTTACGTCGGTCGCTGGCATAGGCACACCTTATATGTAGCCGATATTGTTGATGATGCTCCACAAAGGCGAAAAGGTGATACCGTCGTTTGTCAAAAGAGTCCTCAAAGGCTGTTGTTAAATGCGGCGCTAAACGAGCGGTGGGAGTAAATCGCGGGAATGGGTAGAATGCGAGGTTGATTGCCAAAACAAGTTGAAACCCGAATTCTCCTAGTTCCTCTCTTTTGTGTGTCTTGTATGGAAAGACCCAATGTACCCTGCCACTACACACACCGTACGTAGACTAGTAGAACAAGAGTTGCCTTGCAAAGTGATGCTGATGATGAAGAAAACCTCAAAATACGAAATGCAGCCCAACCAAGAAAAAAAACCAGCCAGGCCAAAATCAAAAGGACGAGGGCGGGAGGGGGGAAAAGCCGTGTGGATTTCTCCTGTTGATATGGGGACAACAACAGAAACTCTATTCAGAAGGGAGTTGTATCCATAACTCAAGCAAGTGGGCGCGACCTTCTATATATGGTAACAATATATACAAACTCGACGTGAGGCGCAGGGTCAAGCTGCAACCAAAAGAGGCGCGTCACGGACTGTGTGAAGAACTTTATGGTAATTCAGGGTGTGTTTACCATTGCCGCCTGTAAGGTTATCGGCGAATGATTGGATTGATTACGTAAGACAACTGGGATATGACTTTGCAAGCTCCAGTTGCCATTGCAGCAACCGAACAAGCAGAGTGCAACTGCAGCAGGATATGGGGCCGGCGACTCTTTTTTTTGCTTGCAAAGTCCACTGCCCCCCATCTGGACAGTCAAAACGAATGCCATCATTTGCGGTGAGCCAATAAGCAAAAGAAAGGGCGGGGAGCCCGAGTCACTTGGACGCGTTAAGAAGGTTAAAGTTTCATTGAGCAATATTCCCGCTGTGACACTGCATTATGCCACGGTATTGGAGAAATATTTTGACATTGAAAAAAAAGGATATACCCTGCCTATCCCCAGAACATAGTGTGGAGGCGATTGAAAATGGCACTAGGACGCATTATTATCCGGATTAATCCGGTTAATCATATCGCATAATCAGAACCCCCCTCTATCGCTCAGATTGGTGTGGCATGTATTGTAATGTTTTTTTTTTAAACTGCGGTGAGGCGCATGCCAAAGGTCTATAAAAGGGGGGCCTTTTCCCTCTTTCCTCTTTACCCATCCTCGACTCGAAGCATCTGCGCAACGCTCATTGCGACCCACACAACCTCATCGCGACTCGGTCAACCATGAGAACGCTGATGTGGTGGTGTCGAGGACCTCGACCGCCCGACAGCAACCGTGATCAGAACCAGCGGCAACCAATCGGATCCGATAACAAAGCCTACTATTATACTGCCACATTAGTTGAGCTTGGTTGGTATGTATTGATGGCATTTCTTGCATTTCTTGTCATCGGGTCACCTCGCTGACATGCAAGTTTTTTTTAGTCTCCAAGCCTTGTCACTGAAAATCCACCAGCTTGTGACGCTGCCCAGTCGATTCGCTCCTGGATGCAAGAGTCTGGCTTCAATGCCATCAAGAGTTCTGGATCAAGGCCTAGTAGGGACCACGTGTAGTGGTGGGCAGTTATCCGGTTAGAACAACCGTTACGTATTGCGTGTATAATTGCCTAGTAGTAGTTAGTTACCTTTTCCGAACCGGTTGTCGCCGGTTTATTCCCTGGTGTAGTAGCTAGTGCCAGTTTCTGTCACCTCTACACTAAACAATGTACAGACGGAAAACAGAAACAAAAATTGTACATGAAAAACGTACATATATGAGAGATAGCATGAACAAGCAACCGAGTCACGGCCAAGATATGGTGCCGACGGGTAAAGATAAAATGTTGGCAACCTCACAAAAACTACACAAGTAGTCGATCAAACCAAAGTGTGGCCGCACCCTCTTGAAAAGAATACATTGATGCCTAAACGCAGTTGCAAACCATGAACCACTGGAAGGTTGACCACATATGTGAGGAAAAGGGCTGCCAAACTCTATACCTTTTGGTGCGCACAGTATGCCAATTCAAAAGACATTGGCCTGGCCTGCGGCTACTGCGCGCACGTGGCAAGGTCGCGTTCGGCTTACATACGCGTGGCCTACTTACAAGACCGCTGGATCGTCAAGTTGGCATGTCTTTGACCGCAACATACTGACCAGTTACCCAGGGCCGCATGCCGCCCCGCAGCGCATCGTTCAACACGACCGACCATACTCAGGGTCTCACACCACCCCGTAGCGCATCTTTTACCATGCTCGACCAGCTTGGTAAAAAAGGGGAAGCGACAATGATGGCGATTCCACGAGATGTACGCATCAAGTATCCCATTCGACCGGCTGCCAATGCGGCAGAAGGTGTTCTCAAGACTGCTGTCATGGGAGATGACGGGGCGGATGAGCGAACGAGAAGCTTCCAAGTGAGTTTTGGTTATGTGGAAACTCTAGTTAATCTAGACCTCCTCACCTCTTTGCATAACGTAGATAAAGGCAAAACTCCTTGCGGCCCTTACAGTCCTCATCATATACGTCATGTTCTGGTCTCGCCTTGCATTGGCCATCCCTCTTCCACCGTCCCAAATCCTATCACTGTTCCTTCCAGTCCTATTGGGTGGTTTGGTCCGACCATTGACACCTTACCCACTGCTTGCCATGCTGCTAACGGGTCTAGTTCTCCGCAACCTCCTTCCTAATTGGGTTGGAAACCCACCACATCAAATCGCAAAAGCATTCTTTTCTTTTGCTCTATCAACGGTAGTTTCAAGAGCTGGATTGGCAATTTCATTATCGACATTTATCTCTCATGTACGTGCCACGCTGGCTGTCGGAGTTCTACCTGTGATTGTCGAAGCAGGATGGTTGAGCATACTTTCACATGGAGTGTTTGGTTTACCCTGGGAATGGGCTTTCATACTTGGGACGGGCGTCGCTAGTGTGAGCCCTGGTGTCGTTGTTCCCCTGCTGTTGGGTCTTGTAGACGGGGGTGATGCTCGATGGAAATCAAATAGGACTGTCAGGATTCTGTTGGCGGCGACTGGAGTGGATGTTTTAATTGCGACAACCGCATTTGGAGTTGCTGTTGCGGTTGTGGAAGGTGTGCTAGAGGGGCGTGGCATTGGGCGATGGTGGGTCGTGAGAGGGCTCTTGGAGGTGGGAATGGGCGTGAGCGTGGGAGCAATTTTGGGCGTATTGGCCTGGTCACTCAAAAAGTGGATCGGAAGGGACGTGATCCTGTTTTGCCTTTCTACAGCTTGGATGATGGGAGCCAAGGCCTGGCGGTTTCCGGGGGCTGCTACGTGTGGGACCATCTGCGCTTGGGCCGTCGCTGGCAACGTATGGAGCAAGGGGGATGTGGAAAGGGCTGACAAACGGTATGTTGGGCGTGCTCTTCCGAAACAATGCTTTGCAACGCATCTCATGCTCTTCCCTCAGGTTAAAAACAGTCTGGTATTGCGCAGAACCATTTCTCTTTCCTGTCATTGGTGCATCCATTTCTCTCGCCTCGTTCGATACGCCCACACTTGTCCTGTCTCTCACCTGTGTGGCATGCTCCATATGCATCAAACTCTCGACAGCATATGTAGCAGCACGGTGGGGCGGACTGGATAAAGATGAAGCAACGTTCTTGTCTGGGGTGTGGACGGGAAAGGCTAGCGTACAGGTAAACCCCTGCGCAGACGGCTTCGTTATTGCCTGCAGCGGCATTGACAATATTGCTTGCTTCCCATAGGCGGCATTGAGTAGCACACCGCTGACACTGATTCAAACCTACCACCTCGAATCTGAACCAGACTTTGCCTATGCTCACATTGTGTTTGCGGGTATGGTCAGTGCGATCCTAATTGGCGCTCCCATAGCGTCTGGGTGGGTCGCCATGTATCGGAATAACGAGGGAAAACAAAAAGAGATGGCTCATGCTACGGTGATTGGCGATGAAGTCGTGTGATATAGAATGAGACGGTTGTGAGCTAGTTCTTGGGTGCAAAATAAAATGAGATCGCTTCATAGAGAATGTGAAGCGCAAAGTATCTAGAGCGCAATCAAATAGACTGGTTTTTAATATTCCTGGTTAAAGATATCATCTTTTCTATCAATTGTTTAAAGAGACTAATGTCCAATCTAACATATATATATATATCCAAATTCACAAAGCATTAAAGGTATCCAAGATTGTAACGAAGAGCTCAGCGCGACGGTAGTTCGCTTGCATCTTTCCATGCAAACCTGTACACCCTATACCTCTGCTTTTCAACCTTGTCCAAAAGCTCATCAGCCCAAACCCAAGTGCCCACGAATCCAAACGCCTCCATATTCTTTTCGAAATCACTTATCGCAGAAAAAAACTGCGGTCTAATTCGGTTGACAATGACCGCCTGTTTGGGTTCCGCTGAAAGAGAGTTGACAAAAATGGTGTGTATCACTTTGGGAAGAATGCGAGCGTGCTCTGGGGCATAGATAACATCCGCGGCAAGAACCGTGCTGATGAATTGACTGTGGGTAGGTGGGTTGTTCCAGTCTAATACTTGAAAGGAGACACGCTCTTCGACGTTGTTGAGACGAGCATTTTTAAGTGCTGTTTCAAGGATAATCGGATGAAAATCTGTCGCAGTAATGTGGGTAGTAGGTGGTAAAACCATGGCGGCTAGAATCGAGGTCAACCCCGTCCCGCAGCCAAGCTCAAGGATGTTGGTAGGATAGGGCGGAAACAAGTGAGATGCGTCAATCAGACGAGACAGGACAAGGCCAGCATTCCATATTTGGGTCCCGATCTCGACGTCTGAACCTGTTCGGCTTGCGCTTGGTTCAGACAGTTTCAAGGTGGCATGAGTAAATGACCATGATTCTATATCTGACTCGCACGGCGAAACGTCATCCGACGGCTTGTCATTCAACCACTCTTCCAATACCCCTGCTGTCCGCTCGAGCGCCTCAACAATGCATTTACTTTCTTCCTCTTTTTCCACATGCAGTGTCTCCAACTCCTCCATCCGCCTGAATAGCCACTTTTTGATACCTTCCACAGCAATCTGATGCTCGATACGGCCGTCATCTACCGGTTCCCCGTCGCCATATCCAGAGTCTGTATCGTTTATCGTACATGCAGGGATGAAGCGGGATTGGATGTTGGATAAAATTGCAATGTAAGGAGCAATGTCGGAGATGGATCGGATCGTTGCCTGTGGGGGGAACGGAAGAAGGGACATTGGTAGGGCGACGGGCCGCGATGGACGGCAGAGGCAAACTCGATCGTCTGGCTGCGGGTATCATTTTTTACTCTTTTTTTTTTTGTTGCAGCCAACTGCGTGCAGATCCAAAAATAGAATTCAAAAAAGTTCGGATAAACAAAATGAAGAAATTAATTTCCCAATTCTTAAATTAAATAATATCCACGTGATCTATCAACCACACGGAGCGCTCCATCCCCCCAACGACCGCGGTGAAAACGTTGGGATGGCCAGCAATCTACGAGTCGCAGCATTTCAAGGCACGTTCCAAGTGGAACTCAAGCTGAAAGCAATAATGAGCATCTGCCAATTTCGTTCGTCCTTTTCACCGACGCAGTCATTGACGAGTAGATACTTTTATGCCAACGGAGAATGGGATGCAGCAACATGGCTTCCTGACAACGAGTCTCAAGCTGTGAAATTGCTCAAACTAGCAAAGAAACAGGAAAACAGTTCCAACTTGCAAAAGAATGGAGCATTAGACCACAACGGTGCCGTCATAGCAACAGCGTGTGTGACCTTACTGGAGACAGTTGCCAAAACTCAACTGATGCTTAATTCTGCATGTTTATCCAATTGACCATTGCCCGTATCCAAGGAGGTAGGCGTTCATCCTTGTGATAGTACGCATAGTGCTAGCTTTATCAAGCCCTGGTTTCACGGTTATCCATGATCCGTGATTCTGCTCGCATGATCTACACGTTCAAGTGAAGGGGATCTTACGGCCGCTTCTGCTTCTTTATTGCTGCTCATGCCAAGTCTCTTAAGGGCTACGAATTTGCGGAGCTGTAGGATTTCCAAAGTTGTATTCCCCTCTGCCAATCGTCCGCGCTGGTTCTCTTCCACCTTTGTCAAAATGGGAATTTCGGGTGTGTTTGCATAGCGAGAACCGTCATGTAACGTAGCTAAAGGCTAACCGGTGCGCATTCAGGCTTAACCAAAGTCATAGGGGATCACGCCCCAGGCGCAATCAAAGAGAATGACATTAAAAACTACTTTGGAAGAAAGGTTGCGATCGATGCTTCCATGTCCATATACCAATTCCTGATCGCGGTTCGGCAAACGGACGGAATGCAACTGACAAACGAGGCAGGAGAGACTACAAGTCATTTGATGGGGATCTTTTATCGTACTATTCGGATGGTGGAGAATGGAATCAAACCAGTGTATGTCTTTGATGGGAAGCCTCCAACGCTCAAGTCGGACGAGGTACGTCCGTAATCATCCTCCTCAGAGCTCCAACAGGAGATTGATAGCTTCTGGAATTGGGTTATAGTTGAAAAAACGTGGTGAACGTCGTGCAGAAGCCCAAGCTCAAGCGGACGCTGCTACGGAAGCAGGTGGGATTTATGCCATGTCAAAATATTGCAAATACCGATTTTGACGTGGGAATCTTCCTCTAAGGCGACACGGAGAACTTTGACAAATTCAGCAGACGGACAGTGAAGGTGACAAAAGAGCATAATGAGGAGTGCAGAAAGCTTTTAAGGCTCATGGGGGTACCATATATTGAGGTATATGCAGCTAGTCACACTTTACAAAAAGGTGTCGATTATCCAATGCTATCAATAGGCACCCTGCGAGGCGGAAGCACAATGCGCGGCCCTTGCTAGGGCTGGAAAAGTGAGTAGCATTCCCATTCCCTTTCCTCTAGCGGTTCCTATGCTGTAAATCTCACGTAGGACTTAGGTCTTTGCAGCGGGCTCGGAGGATATGGATACCCTTACATTTGGCACACCAATTCTATTGCGACATTTGACCTTTAGCGAAGCTAGGAAGATGCCGATTTCAGAAATTCATTTGGATAAAGCGTTGGCTGGCCTTGACATGACCATGGACCAGGTGCGACAGCTGAGTCGTGTGTGTTCACGGTCTCGTCCATATAAACTGAGACGCTGTGGCCGCCGCAGTTCATTGACTTGTGTATCCTACTCGGATGTGATTACTGCGATTCTATTCGAGGTATCGGACCTCATCGTGCGGTCACATTGATGAAAGAATGCGGATCACTAGAAAAGGTTTTGGAAAAGTTGGACCCCAAAAAGTATAATATTTCAGAAGACTGGCCATATAAAGAAGCGCGAGAGCTGTTTAAGAAGCCGGATGTGGTGGATCCGGTTGATATTGAGGTTGGTCTCGTTTTCGGCTCTGTTATTTGAATCCAGGTTCAAATACCCTTTTTTCCCGATTAGCTGAAATGGGATGAACCTGATGAGGAGGGTATAGTAGATTTCATGGTTAAGGAGAAGAATTTCAAGTAGGTTCATTGGATGCCCTCCGATTCTCGAAATGCCCTGCATTCCGCTAAGTATATTTCCTTCTCTCACAAGTGAGGAGAGGGTACGCACTGCAGTAAAAAAGCTGGCCAAGCTGCAAAAAACCGCGACCCAAGGACGACTAGACGGTTTTTTCAAAGTGTTGCCAAATTCGGGTGTGGGTAAACGAAAGGTGGGTGGCCTGTGCAAAAGGAAAGCGTGTGACTATTTCATTGATTAGCCTACTATAAACAGGCTGAGGATAAGAAAGGGGGACCTGCAAAGAAGACCGCTGCAAAAAAAGGTGCCGGTGGAGGGAAACCTAGGCGTTAAATAGACAAATATCATTTCGCACTTACATTATTGAGCCGTTGGTATGGCAACATCTCGATGGCACGGGCACACTAGCGCTCAAGATGCCGAGTCCCATCCCATTCCCGCACGAACCACTTCCATCGTCATGCTAGCTATACGCCGGTCTGCCACTCGGGCTCTAGGAAGAGCGCCAGTCTCGATTGTTGCTACATCACATATTCCTCACGCCGTCACATGCCGAGTCCATCGTATCCAGACAGTTCGTCACAACTCCTCAGGACCGGATGCAACCAGCAAACGTGCCGCGATTTCGTACGATGTCAACCTACAAAACGAGGAACAAGCTGTATCTTCTCAAACCGAGTACGTCGCCCTACACCTTTCCTTTTCTCGAACCTTCATCTGACTTTACGCAGTGTTACAGCTACGCATATCCTCGAGGCCTCGTTGAAACATGTCCCTCAGCATGGGTGGACAGTACAAGCTCTCGGAGCCGGTGCTTCAGACTTGGGATATCCGTCCGTATTGCACGGACTGTTTCCAAGGGGTGGGGTGGATCTGATAGACTACTTCCTAAAAAAGAGCAAACGTGAGATGAAGGCTGAAATGGAGAAGCTGGATTTGGAGAGGTGATTATTCCGATTGGACGATAAACCCTTTGCTTCATGATACTTATTATGTGTCTCATGCTAATGTACAGCATGAAAATCACCGCGAAGATTCGGACAGCTTGCATAACCAGACTAAAGTTGACTGGTCCGTACATATCTCGATGGCCCGAGGTGTGTATTTTGTCCGTCCCCATGTCCACCTTACAACCGTCTTACGCTCTCTACCCAATGCAGGCGCTAGCTCTGATGGGTCAACCTCAAAATGTACCTATGTCTCTCGGAAATCTGGGAGAATTGGTAGACGACATGTGGTATCTTGCTGGGGACCGGTCCGTGGATGTGAGTATCTGCACGCCCATTGTGATCGTTCCTTTTCTCATACAAATCTTTGTGCATGTAGATGAATTGGTACAGCAAACGGACGTTGTTAGCCGGGGTGTATACATCGACTGGTAAGCCTCAATCACACAGAATTGCGAGAACAGGCAATATCTAAGTGACCCAACTTTCGCGCAGAGCTCTACATGACGCAAGATCGATCGCCAGACTTTGAGGAAACATGGAAGTTTCTTGATCGGCGGTTGCAGGATGTGGCATTCATAGGACGGACGGCCTCGGAGGTGACGAATTACCTCCAATTTGGAGTGAGAAGTGCGTTTGGCATCCTTTCCTCGGTAGGTTCATGATTCACAGAAACATCCTGCACGTCCAGAAACGACGCCAGACAAACCAGTGTATTCTTTTACAGTTTGGACACAAGACCCCTTTCAATCGCTAATCATCTAGACACATATATAGCAGTCACATAAACATAGCTTCATAGGAAATAGAGCTGAACATAAGGCACAATGTAGCAACGTCCAGGTATGAAGACTACATAGCGAGGTGATGGCGTAAGGTACCGGTCCGGCGCCATTATTCTGGTCTCATTCCACACACTGCCCGTAGAAGAAATATACAAGTCTCTACATCGCCCGTGTATTCGAAAGAACGGTTTTTTCATTCAAGTGCTTCATTGACCGTGCGGTCAAACCCAAGCCAGTATGGAGCTCCGCGAGCCCCGGAACGCCTTTTGTTATTGCTAGCCCAGATAATCCCATGTACGAATGCAAAAGATCTATCATATGCATTGTGAGTTTGATTGACAGACGGAATGAGAGAAGGTACACGAGAGACAAACCTGGATAGTCACCAGGACCTTTCCCAAATCCGCCGTATTTTGTATGTGTGCTTTTGAGGAATTTTTTCAATGTGTCCGTGTCGACGAGATGGTATACACCGAGGAGCTACAGAGGTAGGATGAATCAGGAACCAATCTTGTGCAACGTTAAGCGAAAGCTACGTACGTCAAGGGAGGCGCCAATCCAGAACGAATAGCACGTATCTGTAGGTTTGTTCGGTCTCCCGTTGAACCCGTCCACTTGCCGGGTAAGCAACCAATATATCAGTTGATCCCGACCCTTCAGCTCGTCCAAACGGTTCATCAAGCTTAAAGACGCCACGGCGCAATACGTTGAGCCCCCTGATTATAGATCGTTAGTCATCCTGTATTGGCTTTTATGTTGCATGCATGTAGCTACCATGAGCCTCCTGTCCTGGGCCTTGACCAAATGCGTACTCGTACGTTTGGCTATTTCGAATAAACGCCAGTGCACGATCAACGTCCACACCCCGCCAGTCATTCAGCATAAAACTTATGGTACATGCACAATAAAGGAAGCGCATGTCACATTCATCGCTTCCCCAGTTTGGGCAAAAGCTGATGGCGTGGTTGAAGTCAGTAAAACACGTTTGAGCGTAGATGCTACGCGAAATGTGGAGATCATGCACCTTCCATTTTCCTGCTGAAGTTGTCGAAGGGATGCGGTGATTGCATCCCGGTTCACCCGTGAGAGATCGTCTCCAAGGATGATCAAGCAGGCAAGGGCAGTATATGTCATGGTGATATGGGCGCTGTCAAAGTCGTTGCAAGGGATGCTCTGAACCCACCGACGGAAAAACATGAGATGAGCGTGATCGACAACATTTATACGGTAGGCGGCACTCTGAATGAATCGGCGCACATACCCCGTTGCTTCACTCACCGAATGAGAAGAGTACGGCGCTCCCGCAAATGGTCCCCCTCTAAATCCACAATGTGGTGACGGCGCTCCTGCTTTTTCTACACATCAATACGGGCTACCTCTAACCTAGAGTCAAACGATCCAAGATGAACCTTTGTCTATTGTCTGAGGATGAATTTGTTGCGCATATATCCACTCTATCCACCCAGCACGTTCTTCCTCTGTCGTTAACGTATGGAGAATGCCTAATATATCTAGAGCACCAAGGCAAAAGTACGCGACTGACATTCTTTTTTGGCAGAAACCGTTGGTATGAGACAGCCAGCCAGTGAGTGGAGGTGCAAGAAAGGTTTACCTGCTCGTGTCGATACTTGTGTAATGTACTGGAAGGTGCTGAACGTGTTTGTGAAAGTAGCGGGCATCGATGGCGAGAACTTCTGGTGGGAACGCTGGTCGGAAAGAAATGACGCGGAATGAGGAGAGCTGTGACAATAAGCGGCCGTTGACACACAGAGTTCTCAACGTCCTCTACTTTGAACAGGCCATTACCTTTCTCCGCCTCGTCTATAATGGTATTTAATGCCATTCTCTGCAAGATCGCGTCAGATGCCACCAAAAAAACTGTTGAATGAGCGGGGAGAACGCGACTTGGACTGAAGGGTCCCCCAAAGCCGCTTTTTGGCCCGCACGGATCTTCGTTTAATAGCGATAAATATGTCCGCAGCACCGACGATCCCGGCAACATTATGCTCTTGCTTCCGATTTGATACTAGGCAACAGCTACTCACACTTAGCTAAGCTTCTCCGACACCGACCCATTCCCGTCATTACGATAGGTCGGGGTTGTTCTCCAGGGCGAGGATGCAGCTGGTTGGACCAGTTTGGCAGATAACCCATGGACGATAACGAGCTGATTTTGGCTTGTACAAGCCAAAATGCGATTGCTCGACTCAGTGCATTGGAGACGTTGCGGGCAGATATTAAAACATCGGGTTCAAAGTGGGCACATAATGCCGCATCGACGGAATTGCTCTCCACTATTGCATGGACACTTTGCGATAGCAATCCAAAGATTGCGATTGAGAGTTTTCAGTTTCTCCTGGACTTTATTCCAACCAATTTGCGAGGTTGCGAAAGTGTCCTGGAATATGCTGTTATTCCAGTCCTCATAAATTGCTTGGGTGATATAAAATTACAACACCGACGGTTGGCCTTGCAAGTCTTGAAAGTCTACCTAGAGCACACTAGCAGCGTTGAAAACATGCTGGAGGCGTTGGCGCATTACGGGCTCGAGAGCGAAGATTGGCGCGTACGAAAAGAAGCTGCAGCTGCGATACCCATGCTTATACCTACTAATATACCAGGCCTTAACTGGCAGCCCTTGATTGGAGCACTGGTAAATCGATTGAGGGATGTTTCGGATGTTGTTATTAAAGGAGCCATCCTGGTCTTGAGGCACATTGGCCTGACGATTGGAGACGCGGTGTTCATGGACATAATCAATAGACTTCCTGGGTTGTCCAGGCAGCTATTTAGGCAGTACCAGGATAAGATTCTAGTGCACGGTGAGGCGGGCGACACGAACAGAGTTGGAGGGGTTGACGCAGGACCAAGAGCTTCTCCTGAGCGCCCAAAATGTTTGCCCCCACGCACTTTATCCGAACCTGCCCGAACACCATCACGCAACAGTCAATTCCAGGAAACAGCACTCCTCCCTTCCCCACCTCATTCTGCAAAAAATCGAGTTGTGGCAGTGGAGCCGCAACTTGCGGACACCGACGTCGTCTTTGGACTAATCCCAGTCGTCATAGTGCAGGGGCTTCACACAGAAGTAGACTGGCGACGGCGGTCAATGGCGATCGAGAACTTGCACCGATGCATCCTTGCTGCTGACGACGTCGTTCCTTTACTTCCTTTCCTGGATGATTTTGTTGACTTCCTAGCCCCATTTTTGGGAGATGCCAATTTCAAGATCGTCATGACGACCTTGCGAATTTTGAGCGACCTGATAACTAGAGTGGGGTCCGCAGTACGTCCAAATCTAGAAAAGACCGTTCAATGCCTTATTCAGATCCTTGGGGACACAAAAGTTGCCATCCGGCAAGCAGCTGCAAAGCTAGTGCTACAGCTCATGCATGTGACAGCGCCAGAGCCGGTGTTAACAATCGTCCTGCGGTATGCGAAACATGACAGCCCAAAAGTTCGCGAGGAGGTCGTAAACATTGTGACAACAGCTCTGCTGACCTTTCCTGATGCGCAGTGGGATTTCCCATGCATTATTAAAGAGCTGCTTGGAACGCTGAAGGATGGAAAAGCAAAAGTGAAATATGTTACAGTCGAAGCATATTCAGTGATTGCCGCCACACTATCTCCAAACCGCATGCAAGAGATCTTGCGAGGATTTGGTTTGGATGAGGAGACATTGCATTTATTAGATCTGCGATTCATGGATCGAACTTTGCCAACTCTGAACTCGGAAGGATCGCTGGAGCATATTATTTCACGGTCGAATGTCACTACACCCCAACCGATGGCATCACCAACTAAAGAACACCCTACAAGTCCGACCGGAAAGGCACTAACACGGGTGAATTCCAAATCAGCACCTTCCTTGGCTGGGCGTCCGCTTTTGGCCCAAAGAACGGGCAATTTTGAGGAAGCACTGCAGGGACATATTCGAGCATTAGATAGGGCTCTGAGCGCAACTACAGAATCCCCGAAAGAGGGCACCAACAGCCGAGGACAAACCGCCCGAACGATCAAATTGCCCTGGGAAAGACCTCGTTCTGGTACGAAATATCGCTACTCCTTTCATGGAGATATGCACAGATCTCAGAACGAAGCTTCGCAAGATGGGCATCGTGTACGAAGTTTCTCGGACTCTGAGAGGATCCTTGGGCAGGGACCCACAGCCGATTCACAGACAGCTGGTCACCTTCCTTCGAGCGATGACATCAAAAATGATTACCACATAAGTGACGGATCCCCAGCGTCTTTTGATGATGCAGCCACACAGGGCAAGGCTCAGGCACCGGTGCGAATGAACAGCTATCCGAGCAAAACCCAACCGTCGCCTCACCGTAAATCAACTCTCGCTGGATTGCGAAGGGTTCGACCGAAGCTTACCACTTACTGGAACCAATCAGAGGATGATCTCCGTACCGACGGTAAAGAATATCCCCTCGGGGATCATCCACGGTCACCGAGTGCACCGTGGTTGCTTAGCGATGTCTCCTCAAGGGATTCTAGCGCAGCAGATATCACATTACTTACGACGCATCCTACAACCATGTCTCCTCTGCCGTTCAGCTCAGCGCCAACCCCTGATCTCGACTCTCAATGGGACGGCCAACCACGCGACCTGATCAAACCACCTGCAATACATCGTAATACCAGTAACACCGGAAAGCGTGCATCAATCGCCACTTTTGGCACTGCGGAAGGTGCTTCACCTGCCGCCGAAACATCCGAACCGAGTGGGAGATCCCCTGACGATCATATCGCATGTAAGCGGTCAACTACTGTTGAGAACTCGAACGGCTTGAGCCGTTTCAGTAACCCTTCCTCTGAGGGATCGTCTAAGACTCAAAAAGACGGTCTAGTCGAGAATGGGTCTCGTCCTTTTGCCCATGATTCCTCTCAAAGGGCAGCATCCTCACCTCAGAAGAAATTTCACACTTCTGCCATGACACGGGACGAGCCCCCAGCATCAGCACCGCCAGGCTTACAGCGCACCAAAACAAGTAAAACTTTTGAACAAGACTACCGTTTGGCGCTGCAGCAATTACGGAACAACCCCGATTGGACCGTCAAAGTTGAATCTGTTGAAAAACTGAGGATTATTCTCGTGGAGTGCCCTCCTTTGTTCAACGGAAATCTTCATGAACTACTCCTTGCAGTTGTCGCCACGGTGCACAACCTGCGCTCTTCCGTGAGCAAGCACGCAATTGCGTTTCTTCACGATATGTACCTGCATCTTGGCAAAACCATGGAAGCAGATTTGGACATGACAGTTGGGTCATTGTTAAAGAAAGTTGGGGAAGGAAATGGTTTCATTGTTGAAGAAGCTGATCGAGCGCTGTCAGCAATGTGTGAAGCCGTAAATCCATCACGCTCAGTCGCATCGCTTCTTTTGTTTGCAGACCACAAGAATCCGGCTGTTAGGATGCGGGTGGCGTCTTTGATGGGCCGGGTCGTAACAGGGACGTCTGACGCCCAAGCCGCGCGTTACATTCAGTCGTATGGGGAGGCTGGAAAGCTTCTCACTGCTCTGGTGCAATTTTTGCGTGACGGATTGGCGGACACGAGGAATGCCGCCAAGCGAATGCTACTCTTTCTTTCGCAACTCCCTGACTTCAATAAAGTTACGGAAAAGGTACTCACCATAAAACAAGTAAATGAGGTCCACGAAGCATTGAAGAGCGCGACGGGACGGGAAAGCGCAGGTGCGTCTTTCTCCGCAAAATGATCCAGAACCCATTTTATTGAAATGTCTATTAGTCAGCACCAGATCTGCGGTAACAGGAGCACTAGTTCGAGCCCCAAGCAAACGAAATGTAAAGAAGCCTCGGGAGAAATCGGATGTCCGGGACATGGACCGTCTGAACAGTATTTACAGAGACATGGTCGCAGACGGTGAGAATGCGCTGTATTGAATTCTGGAGTTTGCTGTGGGGCTAACAACTGCTATGACGTAGACTGGAGAAAGCGATATCAGGGTGTCATGGATGTCATAGCATTTGTCAAAGAGTATCCATCAGAAATGATGGACCGCCAGCGGATCCAAATGCTATTTGACCACTATCTGGAAAGATGCCGAGACGGGAATAGCAAAGTGGGATTATTGGGTTTACAAAGCTTGCAGGAGCTTATACCTGCATTGAAGGTAGGATGCTGTTGAGTCTTCCGCATGCATGCTTTCTATCGCTAATACGTTTTGTAGACTGGTCTAGATCCCGTCATCCACACGTTAGTCCAAACATTGGCCAACCAAATGGCGACTGCCAGTCCCGTTATTCGTACCGCCACAGTGCAAGCCATGGATACACTAATTGCAAATGGAGACAATGGACTGATCCTGCAATCTCTTGCGAATTTTGTGCAATTTGGATCCAATGCTCGAGTCAAGCCGATGCTTCTTGAACAAATGATCCGTAAGTTGGCAGTCCCAAAGAGCAGTGACGCTCAGGAGTCTAACGTGTCCTATACATTCTTTCGTACACAGCGGTTATTGACAATGTTTACGCCTCCAAGCCGAGCCTTGTCATCAAATACGCCGTTCCAATCACAATGCGCTTCCTTCAGGAAGCAAAAGGCGATATCCGGAGCACCAACGCCAAACTATTGAAAGGATTGTTTTCATTGATGGGTCAATCACTATTTGAGCACGTTGGACATTTGACACCTGAGGTTCAAGGAAACCTCATGGCCACCTTGGGATGTTCATAATATTTAAGAGCTGGGACAGCGGGCTGTCTCTCGTGTAACAAATAGGAACCACCAAGTAGATAACTCGATTGTACATAATGAAACTTTTTGACAAACCCGTACATTAGCCTATCATCTTTGCGTGGTCGTCTGGCGGCCATTTAGTTTGCGCAAACGTCATTAGGCGCTTAATGGATTGAATCCACTTTCGCTGTGCTTCGTCATTCAGTACGTGCGCAACTTGCGACGAGAAAATCTTCTCTCGAGCACTACGCTCGTGGATACCTGAAGGAGTTAACGCTCTTAGTTACCTGGAACTACTCTGGCGTTTGCTGGCATCCAGGAAGCGAATGAAGATACTTACCAACCATGGTGACTCCAATAGGCCACGGTGCATTGCCAATCGATAGGCGAAGATATGAATCATTGGCCTGAAGGTACTCCCGCTGCTGCATCAGTTGGGCAATTTCACAGACGCGTGCCAGCACGTCAGGTTCGAGTGCCCTCTTTTTAAGTTGTTTGAAGAACGGCTTCATGTACTCTGCTGTTTGCGCCTGTATAGCGGCTTGAAGCCGTCCTTGTACGCTTCGTTTGACGTCTTCCGGCCGAGCGTCTAAGGACTTATCCCATTCCCTGAGCAGTCGTTTGAAATATATGGATAGCAAGTTATAGGCTTTATCACGATCCGATTGGAGAAGCTCAAGGGATATAATGGAAGTGTCGACCATCTCTCGTTCAACATCTCGGTCTTTTCGTTTCTTTCGATACTGGTCTTCTTCCTCTTCTCCGCCTTCGCCCCCGGATGCTTTCCGCTTTAAGTTCTCTAGAACAAGTTCCTGTTCGGTAGCCGCCATCGCAGCACGGAAATCATTGCGCTGCCCCTCCGTTCTTTCCTCGCTAGCCTCTAATTTCCGTAATCGCCGAATTCGCTGCTTATCGGTTTCCCCGAACAAGCGAATTGGCTGATCTCGTGCTCGGAAGCGACGCACCAAATCACTTTCGGCAATGTTATAGTCTACTTCATCGTTCTCATCTGCTTTGTCTTTCTGGCTGTCGGCATCGGATGTATGGGCTTCGGGTGTTCCTGAAGGGCTGCCTAGAGAGGGTGAATTGAGTCCCTTCCGACTTCCACTCGGAGCTTCTCCGAGACGTTTCGCTTGCTTTTCCAGGCGCTCCTTCTCTAATCGTTTCTGTTCCTCTCGATATTCTTCCTCTCGACGCTTTTCAAGCTCGCCGCGCTTGATGTACTTTTTCCCGTTGGCAAGCTGGGCTAGTGCGGCTTTCTTCTTCTCAAGTTCTGCCTTAAACGGGTGGCAAGCACTGTCAGTTTCAGTCAGTAGATATCAGTTTATCTCCCTCACTCACCTTGATAAGGTCCATTTAAAAAGAGCCAACACTGAAATGTGGCAAGTATGTGTTGCTGAATGAGTGATCTCGCAGTGCTCGAAGGCCAAAGAAGCACTCTGGCTCACGTGTGGTCGATTGTCACGTGGATTCGACTGGTCGTCTCGCATGTCTGGACATTCATGACGGTGATCTCGTTCACGAAAAGCGAAGATGGTTTTCCCTGACAAGCTGAAAAGACTTTTTATACAAGCATATCTCCTAGAGCGCTTTTCCACGGAAGAAGACGTTCTTAATGTCTACCAAAGAGTCTGCGAAACTCTCGGACGTAAGCACCCCCAAGCTGCATACGACCGTGTTATTCGGAAGTTAATGGTTAGGTTGAATAGGACCGTATGCCCGTGAGGACCTGTCAAGCTTCATATCAAATATGAATCAAACATTGGATACAGTTGATATGGAGTTACGGAAGGGACATGCGCCGCAAGACGGGACAACCTATTATGCCCTCGTCAACACCAATGGCGACGAGGTGGCACAAATGGCTACCGAATGCACACCGACAGAGATTACTTACTTCAAGCATCTGGTAGACGATTGCGTGTATGCATGCTTGACGCCAAACTATATTTTGACATCAGATATTCACTTGCAGATTGAGATCATTGTACATGCGGACGACGATGTGTATGAGCTTTCCTCAACCGTGGCCTTGTCGGAGGCGACAAGAATAAAACCTGCAATGACAAAGAGAGATGCGGAAGCATTTATCGATCGCATGATCAAGAATAAGTGGCTGGTGGACAGGTACGTGGTAGTGCCTGTTTTCGTAGACAAGCCCAGTTCTCAAACATTTGCTAGGGATGGATTGATATCAATGAGTCTACGAACAATTCTGGAACTTCAAACGTATCTGAAAGACCAGTATCCTGATAGAATACATGAGTGCACATTGTGCATGGAGATCGTAACGACGGATGTAAGTATGTCGACGTCTTGGACCCTCGTGTGCACTTGAGAATGCGCCTAATGCTTGCCGCTGCCAGTACGAGCGATGTAACGTTGCAAACTGCCAGACTCGGCTTCATTCGCATTGCAGCAGACAATATTTTTCGAGGAGAAATCAGAATGTTTGCCCATCTTGCCAAAGCGAGTGGAGAGGTATTCTGCTCGGAACTGGCGAGCATCGGACAGGGAACACGGGGCGACGAACCTCGCGTAGAGTTTCTGCGAGCCAGTCAACATTGAGTCTTCAATGTGATGAGGAAGAGGAGCAGGAGGACGATGAGAATGTAGACATGAATGGGACGGCTAATGACAGCCCAGACGACATGGTGGTAGATCGACCGTTACGTCGAACAAGGGATCGAGATGCAATTCCCACAAGTGCAGGTAGTTCTCGGAAAAGACCGAGAAGACCTTTATAGAAATAAATTCCTGGATGCTATCATTACAAGCGCCATCGTCCGGATACCGAAGCAGGTTGGGATCTGAAGAGCACAAGAGTTGTGGTTCAGGTATGCTTCTATTAACAATGACCAATGGCACCAAAGATGCCAGTACTATATGATAGTTACTGTCTGCTGCTGATAATCTGAAGGAACTCTTGGTCCTTCAAAGACGCACCCCCGACCAAGAACCCATCGATGTCTTGTTCTTGTTGCAAATCCGGTGCGGACTTGGCACTCACTGATCCTCCATACAAAATGCGCGTCGCATCTGCCACCTCCTGGGAGACATTCTTGGCTAGCCAGCCACGAAGCTCGTTGTGAACTTCCTGAGCCTGTTGAGGTGTAGCTACCTTACCGGTACCGATGGCCCACACAGGCTCATATGCGATAACGACGTTCGCCCAGTCGGCGGGGGCCAACTGGTCGGCGATGGCCTTAATTTGGCGGAATACGACGGCGGTCGTCTGTCCCGCCTCGCGCTCGGCGTCTTGCTCGCCGACACAAGCAATGACGCTCAAGCCAGCCTTGACGGCAGCGTGCACCTTTTTCCCTACGAACTCGTCCGATTCCCCAAATATCATTCGGCGTTCCGAGTGCCCGAGAATGACCCAACCAATGCTGAGGTCCTTGAGCATTTCGGTGCTCACTTCGCCAGTGTATGCGCCTTTGGATTCCGTGTAGCAGTTCTGGGCAGATACGCCAACGTCTTTGCGGAGGGTGTTACGGACCAATTGAAGATACGGGAAAGGAGGGGCAATGACGACCTCTGAAGGAGTGGATGGCGTTTAACTCACTTTCAACCCAGATAAGTCCACAAAATGGTTCAACATACCAACGTTGGGGCTCCATTTGCCCTGGTTGAGAGCGTTGACGATGGTTTCCGCCAACTTGACGGACCCATTCATCTTCCAGTTGCCACCGACCTGTCCACATATGTGGTTAATAGATGCTTGAGCGTATACAAGTAAAGTACCTTTGAGCTTACCAAGAACTTTCTTGCCATTGCTGCGTGTTTACTTTGTGAGAAGAATTTGAAATTGACGACAAAAGGAAGAAACGGTGGGCGCTCTTTAAATACTCTGTCGAGTCGGTCATTTCCGGAATCGATACTGAGTCATGCACCAACGCGCATGCAGCTGGCAGCTTTGCGCGGCACTTTTTGCTTGTCGGGCGATTCCGCAGCCATGCCCAAGATTGTCAGTTCCAGTACGATTTCAGCGTCTGCCGAGTTTATCACAGGCGCAGAGAAAGCTCTCCATGTATACTACTGCCATTATTGCGGGGAATATGTTCTCATCGTTGGTATGAAAATCTTTAGCTGTCTTTGTTTGTTGTCGAGATCTAAAATTACTGTTGTAATACAAAAGACAAACGATTACACAAGGTATGTCGGTGAAGGCCCTGCATTTCCCTCCGAGTGATTTATGTATGCCTCGACCGAACAGCTGCCACGCCGGAGAACGGACAACGCATCGATAATAAGCGACAAACGAACATTCAAGCTCAATCTCAAACGTGGCCCTACAAAAATTATCAAGAGGTAAGCCTATCTGTAGAGTATTACTCCGGATCATATATAACATAATGCCGTCCTGGAACAGAGCGGCTGGATATGAAAGACAATCCCGATGGTCATGTCCGCGATGTGATCTACCTGTAGCGTACGATCAAGATTCTGGGCCAGTGTACATATTTGATGGGGCAGTTCATGGCGGTACATCGGCACAAGGCCCTGATGAATCAAGAAGACAAGTACTGGGGGAAAGCAAAGTAATTTATTCGTGTGCTTTGGTCTAGTGTGAAGGTTGTTGCTGAATCACAAGATGTTTTGATAGGTGGAAGATCATCGCCCTGCTCAAGTACAAATGACTGCTGAACAGCTACTTCGAGAAGCGGAGAGATCCAGAGAGAGGTCGAAACGATAGGCATCTCATTGAAGTATGATTATTTTGGAAAGTCACCTACAGAGCGATTGGTAACAGTAAACCACGTAAATTAGTGCGGACATGGAGGAATGGAGACCATCGCTCGGCCCCATATCGACCACTGATTAATCAGCATTTGAACGTACTACCGCATCTGAAAAACCTCCCCAGTAACATCTATTCGCAAGTGTAATCATGACCAGCGCGACTTACGAGAAAGCTATTTGGTTCAATGTTTTCTTGAGCTTGATTACCTGTGAGGTGATCGTGCGTGCTGGGATACGATACGACTTGGGCATGCCAAGGAAGTTACTATTCGTATCTATTGTGATTGCAATCATTTCAACTAGTGGCGGTAGCCCATGCCATCAAATCTGGTTAACCCCGGCGCTGCGATGTTGCTGTTCTGTTTAGAATAGGAATTGTACTGCGTAGTGCGGAGCCAATTGCACTGCGTATATTTAATAAATGCACCAGAGACAGAATACGAGATCCAGCTTGGGGTTTATCGATAGTGCGGAATGCTCACGTAATGCGGTGCTGTGCACTTTACAGTGGACACAACAGTGTCCACCACATCCAAGATGGCGAAAAGCAATTCGTTCAAAGTTCCAAGGCAGGACGATAGCGGAAGAATATGTCAAAGGAGCTGGTAACTCTAACACAGAACGATGCAGAAAATCCTGCACGTCGTCTGGCTTTTCTTTGGGGCATCGTAGGAGCATGGTTTTCCCGCATTGACGTGTGGCTTCGGGGGACCAGGTAAGAACGCCCCAAGGGAAAAGGAGCACGCTGAGGGACAGCTCAAACCGATTGCTAACACTTGCAACTAAAGACACAATACTCCACTCTTTGCACTTTACGCTCGTAAGTATTGCTAGTTCGTCGTACACCAGGCGACAAACGCTAACCTGGATATCTCGGTTCTCTGGTAGTATTTAAGCTTGTTCACGTTTTCTTCCGCAGGCTCCTAACTGGGCCCCTTGTGCCAGTATGGAGCTACAAAGCTGAAGTTGGGATAGCGTTGTTGCAATATGGGCTACATTCCGATCTGGAATTCGTCAGGACCCTCCTAACAAGGGCAAGCAACCTGACAATTGGCCGTGGCACGGTTGTCTATGTACGTAGGCAGGCAATTTGATTGGGAAAAGAAAGCAGTGCTCAGATTACCGATAGGTGGATGAAGAAAACTTGAAGGGTTCATGGCTTACTTTGCGGGATGTCAAACCGGTTCTTCACGTTGGCGTTCGAGATGCCAAAGGTCTATCCGTTCAGACTCCTCTGACAATCTTTTACGTTCATGGTATGGTTGATGATTCTACGAGCAAATTGAATACACAGCACAATTTCTGACATGCATTCATAAAGGCGGAGGATATTGTTTTGGTGAGCCAGTGGTCGACCGCTGAACATTTGCAGTACACAACGAGCTTACATTTCATAGGCATGCCTCTGATGTATCAGTCCCAACTTCTCCAGCTCCTCCGAGATCTTAAAGAATCTTATGGTATCGCGGCGCAGATTTTCTGCGTGAAATATCCGCTTTCCCCTGAGGTGCCCTTTCCCGGCGCCATTGATAGTGTCATCGCGGCCTATAACGCATTGCTGGCACACATGTTTGACCCATCACGAATCATCCTAGGTACCTCTCTTAACATCATCTGAATTTATGTCGTCTCTGACTGAATATTATCAGGAGGGGACTCTGCGGGTGGTGGGCTGGTCCTGAACCTTCTTCAACACCTGCGTTCTACGGCGCCGTCAAAGTTACCCCTCTGTGCGAATCTCATCTCCCCCTTTGTGAACCAGCAGGCTACAGCGCCATCAATGGTTGCCAACGAGCCATACGACTTCCTATCTCGGCGTTCTATCTTAGATATGGCCGGTCGTTACAGGAACAGTGCCACTTTCCCAGCTCCAGATGACCCTGGTTTGGCAGAACCCCGCGTTTCCCCGATAAATGGGGACGTTCATGGGCTTCCGCCGCTTCTTGTAACCGTTGGGACAAAAGAAATCTTTCTTGATGATGTGAACGCGTTGGTATCAAAATGCCAGCAAAGTGGTGTTATTGTTGAATTGGATGTTGGTGAAGGAATGGTACACAACTATCCGCTTTTAGAACAGGTCTTCGGAAGACCAGCCAGAGAAGGCTTAGGTAGGATTGCGACGTGGATGGCTAAGATGGTGAAAGATAGTCAACAGCAATTTTAATGTACATCCAGATAATAAGAGTAGAAAGCTTGTTTCTGTGTGAATGTGTGTGTGTTACGTGCAAGCGTATCTTGACCTTGGCTATTGACATTGGAAGGCCGTACTCTGCGCTTCGCAGAGGCATGCGTACGTGTTTGGCTACCATAACCTTGGACAATCACTGGACCTTGTTTGTTTCGTCCACCGGAGATAACAGGACTCATTTAGTTACGGATCAGTCCGGCGAATGTTGCATACGAGGAGATGTTGTTTGTCCACATGAATGGCATATTTGCCAACGAGCTTTAGCAAGGTGAGAGCAGTTCTACAACGTCGGATCGCTTCCAATCGCGTGCTGAAACAATTGATCGGCGTTAAAGCCATTATACATCTCCCGTCCTCACCTTGTAGGCAGAAATTGCTCACCGATGTCGACAGCCCTTCTTCCATGAGCGTCTTCCACGTCTTTGCTGACACCAGCAACATCAATGAGCCATCGAATAACATCGATATGGCCCTCTCGCGCTGCGAAATGGAGAGGGGTAAAACCGTCCAACGTCTCAGGACTTTGGAAATCCTGTCGGACAAGGTGTTTGACATTGTCCGGGCTGTCGACTTCCGATGTCCTTTCGCACATAAATATGTCAAAGAGATACTGCAGAATATTTAACCTGTTCGTCTGTGCCGCAAAATGCACTGCTTGCATTCCAGCCTTCGACGTTGCTCGCGCATCACTTTGATATCGTTTTAAGCAGATATCGACGCACGATAATGAGCCGGAGATGCAGGCTAGGTGGAAGATCGTCAACCCTTCGGCGTCTCTGATTTGCGTTAACTGCAGCAATTCACTTTCGCCCAAGCTATCAACTTGGGATCGCCCAACTTCGAAGAGCATTTCCAAAACTTCAACGCAAGGTGCAGCGGCTGCCATATGTGCGGGTGTTCGACCGTTTCTTGACTGAACAAAAACCAAATGTGGCGCCTTCTCCACTATAAACTGAGCGCATGGAACTGCACACTTCTGGGCAGCCACATGCAGAACATTCCATCCGTCTTTATTTTGCGGTGTTAAGAGGGCTCCGTAATCGTAAAGGACCTTGAGAACCGGCAGCAAGTTTTTGTTGGTTGCAATCATGGCTGGCACCCAAGTCCCATGCTGTTCCAGGGAAGACATGAAGTAGAAAATAAGTGACGAAGTCTTCTCGGTAATTGCCTTTATGTGCAGCATACCTTGAATCCATTTGGATCGGCGCCTTTTGAAAGTAGGTACTCGACACATTGCTTGCACTCAATTGTCTCATGAATTGGGCGGCGGCCTACTCACGGCACGTTCAGTTAGCATAAGCGTTGTCGGTCCAGATCCTCAAGAACCAAATTACCAAATATGTTGGAAACATTAACATCAGCGTGAAACTCCTCCACTAAAACTTCAAGAACTGTGAGGATCTGTGCACGGCCTGCGAAGTGGATTAGCCGATCTTGCTGACGGTTAACTGGTGAATTAACGTCAAAGGTCGCTTGGTGCAGCAAGCAACGAAGGTCTGAAAGAGCACTTTGGCATGTAGCGCGGATGAGGGCGGGGATAAGAGCAGCAGTATCATTTCCCATGTGTGTGCTTGCAGTGCTAGTTGCCAAACAGCAATATGAGATCAGGGTGGCTGTGAAATCCATTTACTACCCCACATTTCCCCACACTTGACGCTCGGTTGAGTCAATTCCTCCGCCTGTGTGTCATTCCTTCTTGGCCATCATTCATTGAATGCACTATTTCATAGCAATTGCTACGGCGGTATGGCCATGCCCTCAAACCTGGTTTAACGCATGCGCTGCTGTGTTTCTGCTGTGTACCCGTTATCTGTCCCATCATATATTCGATACTAGTTGTACCGTGAGGATTCACTGACCGCATTATGCTTTTGGATCCTGGAGCTGTTCCAGGCGATAGATTACTCTTCAAAAGAGTCTGCGCAGGTGTCATGATTTCTGCATCAGCACTATATTCTGATCTGATATCTTCCCGCCCGTGTTACAGTCCTTACGCCCTGTCAGTGGGAATATCAGTGGAACGTCAAGAGCCACTTACAAGCAAAGCATAGTCTCATATGATACGATACCTTGAAAGGTTTATATGGCTCGTGGTGAACTTGCAATGTGTCAATGCGGAGACCTGATGCTGTGTACATGTTGATCTTAAAGTCGATGTAGACAGTACGGGCCATTTGAATTGGAACGGCTCTATCATAAGTGGTATAAATACTTTCACTCGCGAGCATCCAATGAGCAACGATCGACAAAGGCAACATACCCGCTCTCCATGTACAAATTACCCGTGAGAAGCGGCACTCCGCTGACATTGAAATCGGTTGATATTTTGCCAATGGTCCATCGCAGTTCCTGCAGCAAACACATTTGCTGGTCAGTACCCAAGTAATGCTTTCTTATGAATTCAAACGAACCTTCGTCATTTGGTCAAATGTACATTGTCCCACGTTTGCATTCAGCTTTACGGAGGCTACAGCCTTCGGAAGTGTGATGGAGAGTGCAGCATTTTCCACTATTTTCCCTCCGGTGGATCGTGGCTGGACGGATATGTCAAGCTTGCCTACGTAATATTAGAAATTTAAGCAGTTGTCAAGCAGCTGATCAGAAATATATTACTCCTCCTTACCTGTAGTTTTCGAAAAATGGATTGAGGGTTTAACTAGAAGAGGCAAAGTCTGCGGTGAGCTCATGTTCACGCTGAATGAAAATTGGATCAGATGAGCACATTGAAGTAATAAATAAAGGTTGTCTTACTTGTAATCCATGAGCTTGAATTGTCCATCTGGTGGGACAAATGACAGGACTCGATCCTTTTCAAACCGATGATATCTAGCTAGTCCCTAAATTGAGTATGGACTTTCCTCAAATTTGCAATTCTCCATGGGCTGATCGAACCTCACACATGGATGAAAACTCGTCATGTTGTCCTCCAGAACACGGTGGTTCATAAATGTCAGAATCAGGTCTGGCATCCCTGTAAACCGCAAAGCTATCGTCACGGGTTACGCTAAAATACAAATAGGTACTTATGAGATTCAAACCTGACAATCTGGTATTGCAAAGGACTTCCCCATGTGCTTCCGCAGTGATTATGTTATTATTCCTATGCGGGACGGGATGAGTATCTTAATCAAGCTTTCCTTAACAATCTACCATGTGCACCTGTCTAGAATGGCGTCCACAGTTTCGACAATGTCAAAAAATATTTCGTTGTTCGTATATTTGATACCGGTCGATCGCCAAGGAACACTGGATAAACTCCCGCTTGGTTGTTTTGTTCCAAAACTGCTAGCAATTAGCATAGAGGATTTGTCGGTTAACTTATCTCAATATTTCCTACTTTGTGCCAAGAGAAACGGCGTTCATTACGGTTGATAAAAGGGATGGAGGTGGCACGACATCTTTCAAAATGTTGGGTTCCGTAATATAGGGAAAGCCGTAATCAAGTAGCTCTTCCAGCAACTACAACATTGTGTTATAAGGTCCTCGTCACAACTAGTGTGCTGGAAAGAGGAAACTTACCTCATACACAATCACAAAATTCTCCTTTATAATGAGCTCTGTTACTGGGCCAAAGTAGTCGACTAAGAGATCCACCGTCCGATGCAAGAAATGCAATACACTCAGTGGCGACACTGTAGCAATCAGGAAAGTTAATTGAGCCTCAGCCCCAGCGAGCACCTGGAGGAAAGGCAGTACGTTACCTTCTTCTTCAGTTACAGCAAGGAAGACCAAGCCACTGCGATAGACATGATGAAGATAAAGCTCTTCACACGCCACCACTGGCGGAACCTCGTACGGGCTAGAGGATGCTTGAGATATTTTGAGGAAATCGTCGACAGCACGCCCTATCACATGGCGCCAGTGCTTTTCAATGATAACCTTCCTAAGAAAATGCAAGCAGTTCTCCGTTAATAAATTTCGTGCCTGTGCGTCTTTCGAGAACTGTCACTTACGAGAACTTACCCACTTGTATCTAGGATAAACAAACTACTGATCATATTTCTATATGTGTAAAAGTGGATGGACTCAAATGCACTGGCTTCCAAAGTCCGATGATCTCGCAAAGGGCAACTGGCAGACGTGGTTGTTCTGCTGAATGTGTCATCTGTGGCTTAGACCGTGCTTAGCTGGTAAACCCAGCCAGAGCGACAGATCGACGAGGAGCAGACATGGACGACGTCGACGTGGACCGATTATATATCCTCGAATCTTTGCGTACAAAGATCTCCCAACTTCGTGATTCTCTTAATGATTTCTGGGCTGTGCCGAATAACGCGCAATGGTAGGAATAGGAGCTTTGGACTGTACAAGTGATATCCAACGCTGCACCTATTGACTTACACTGTACTTTGACGGCGATGCAGGCCGCATGTTTTGAGTCAGTTCAACGTCCTTGTTGCCAGATATGAGAGTCTATTGGGAGAATTGCGGAAATCCTGGTTGAAGTTAAATCTGGTTATTCCCAGCACTGTGCCCCATGAGCGTCCAGATCAGTGTAAGTCTCGAAGATTGTACACCGTCGTGCGAAGAGTTTGCGTACCAATTGCTTGGCCTTATTCAGTACCTGAGCTACTCCGCACCAAACTGATTCCCGAGATAGAAGAATTACAAAACGCGCAACGTCGTAACGCTGTACATGCTCCTGGCCTTGGAAGTGATGAAATTAATTACTTGGATGAGTCTGCTGTACGAGATGCGGTACGATCTTGGGAGGTATGTGATCCCGGACCGCTCTTATTTCCCTCTCTCAGGCCTATCATTAACGTACTTTAACCTAATGGCATAGGCACGTATGGAACAGCATGATCTCCTAGTTCAAGCTGCCCTTGAAACGGTGCGCGACAAAGACCTTCGCAAACAACTCAAAGCTCGAATACCACAAGAAGAGGACGACCAGGATTTAAGTCGATTTGTGGATGAGGCTGGGAAAGAGAATAAGCGGGATCTGGAGCGCATGTTGATGTGGATGTCCAGCGGACCGCGTAAGGGTTCTTTCTGTTTTGTTTATCGAAAACTGTCATTGTAAACACTCTGCCTCACTTTTTTTAGAGAGCTGGGTAGAAGAAGAGAGCAGGCGAGCATGACTGGTTGCAGTGGAGATATAAGAGCTTCCGGTAGCTTGCTTGGTGTACATAGGGCGTATATAGAAATTTCCGATTCTACAGCTTGTGCTTTTATGGAACAAGTTACAGCCGGATTGACCTAACTGGTAGCTCAACAGTGACAGAGCGGCAGACGGCGTCGCATATCAAAAATCTACTAAGTATTAGATATATTACATTCACAGTATTAAAACTCGGCTCGCCTTGCCGGAAACGCAGGGTACGTTCGTAGCCGCAGCCTTTCCACTTCCTCTCTCAGAATAGCGATGTCTTGCGCCTGAGATTTAGCAAGATCTATCAACCTTCTCCTAGCATAAATAGATCCCAGTGCATTTTTCCGGCCTTTGGGTTTACTTCGTATTTGTGCGGAAATTTTTCCCCCTTCGTCCGCCTTTTCCTCATCTACTACGCCCGCAATCATTTTGCGATCCCGAACGTCCTGGCCGAGAGAGTCCACCTTCATATCCAACCGCTTGTTCTCCCCTTTCTTTTCCCGTACTTTGCGTTCAAGTCTCTCAATGGCAGCTTTCATTTCGGAGAGTTTGTGGTGATGAGCTTTGATGCTATGTTCCGCGCGTTTCTCAAGTGCCGCGATTTCGTGCAAATGCTTTTTGTCATCTCCTCCGCGAATAAATTCTTGCATAGATTTGGTAACGCGAAGAAGTTGGATGTCGCGAGTGCGGAGGGTCAGTGATTCAGCCTGGAAATCGAGCATCTTCGTTTCCCTGTTTTTATAAACCGGTACGCCATGAGAGTCAAGCATTTGAAAAACAAATCCACCGGTTAAAAGCATACCACTCCAAAGCATGTATCCCCCGTCTATACTCTTTCATCTCCCTTAGAGCAGCCACTTTAGTCTGACCCAGGGCGACGATGGCCTCGTTCAACCTCTCCACCACACTTCTATGAACCAGAACCGCATCGCTGTAGTCTGTGACCACAGGAGCCTGCGGGACTTCAACCTGGCCCTGTTTAAGACCAACCAGTACCTCCAAATCAAACGTGCTTCCAAATCTGTAGTCCACAAACCCGTTCATTTCTCCCGTGAGTTCTTCGGTTTCCAAGCGGATTTGGTCGGATGCCTCTAGCAGATTCGTTATCAGGGTCTGTAAGTTGTGGAGAGTTTGCGAGACGGTGTGCAAGTCGGCTTCGGTCTGAATTTTCCTGTTTCGGATGGCGATGAGATTTTGGAACAGATCAGCGGGGAGGCCTTCTGGTGTGTCTGTCTGCGGATTTAGAGGGCAAGGAGTTGGGGGTGGGAGGGTGCTGAAGGCCGGTGTTAAAGCATGGGACGTTGGACGAGAAGGGTGGTGCTGTGGTTCATACGGCTTGTATGGATTAAGATCTTGCTGCGAGGGGTCGGTTGTCGTACCATCACGAGAATCCTCAGCGGCATCCCTCCGTTTAAATAACCTCCAACATGCCTCCCACCATCCTTCCATTCCTGGTGCCCCAAATTCTTTTCTGAATGCCCTTTCGACCTCCTTATCTTTCTTCAACGCAGTCTCGTATTCCTCTCGACATCTCTCCAAATCCTTCTTCAATTCAGGTATCTCCGCTGAGTAATGCATTTTTTCTCCCTTGCAAGCTTCCAGTCGGGAGGTTATGGCTTGCTCCTTGGCTTCGTCTTCTGAAGCGTACAGAATCGAAGCGTACAGCTTGATCAAAACGAGCTCATGTTGGTAGATAATGTTGTCAGTGCTGAGCTTAAGCTCAAAGAGAGTCTGCCGGAGACTTATGGAATCAAATTGATCGCAGATTTCTGTGATGGACGCCAAAAGTTTCTTCAACTCGGTCTCCAAAGCTTTCCGGGTCTTCTCCTGCTCTTCCTTTTGTGTTGCAAGCTTCTTCTCATATTCTTTTGCCAGCTTCTTTTCCTCGTCTAACCATTCAGAAGCTGGTTTCGTCGTCATAAAGTCCGGTTTTGTGAGGAGGGCTTTGGTGTCTTCCTCTGCGCTGCGGTCCTCAAGTCTATTGTTCATCATCTGGGTGAGGGCCCGATCTCGGGCATTATCTAGGGCAGCCGCGCGGAGACGTTCCGCATCTTGACGTTGTTTTTCGAGCAGACGCTGTTGCTCCTCTGGCGTGATAAACTGTCATATTAAAGACATCAATCTCGTATCATGCATGACTAGCGTTGGGGGTAGGAATTGGATAAAAAAGCGATGCTAACCTTCTCACACTTAATTTCCTCATCTTTGACCTCAACAACTAGCCCCGGCTCCTCCTCCCGATCCAAAACGGGCTTGAAGATCTCCACTCCCTCAACGTTGCCCAACTCATCCATTATCCCCTTGCATCTCTCTCCCTTCTCTTCAATTTTAAGCATCTCGTCTCGCTTGAGTTTGACAAATTCTGCAAATTTGTTGTTGAAGTTTTTCTTGAGGTTTTGAATGTGGTCCTGTAGGAGAATCATTTGTGTTCGGCGCCGATCATTGGTCGTCAGGTCAAACGGTGTATACAGAAGGGCAGGTGGGACATCCGGGGCCGGCGTAGGAGCCTTTGCTTGCGTGTCTGCCTCGGTGTCGGAACCGTCCAGCTTCAAAATAGGAGCATGAGAAATACACCTTGCTATTTCACAAACTTGTCGTTTTGCAACTTACTTCCTCGGTCAAGTCCATCTCCCTCACCCCGCCCTTCTTTTGAGTCACCTAGACTCACCACATGCCTCAATAACACTACTTCCATGATGCAACCGGCAAGCGATAGCATACCTTTGCAGTAGCGTTGGCAACCAACATCCCGACCTTCCTCAAGAACATAACTCTGTTTACTCGCTCAATCTCCTCCAAACTTTGCTTCCGAATTGGATAATTCGGTACAACCGTGTGACGTCCAGTAAGAGGGTCTGGGTTGAAGGATTTGATCGATTGACCGATGATTTCCATCGAGTCCCAACATTCTTGCTACGGGAAGCATATTTTGTGTACACTCTTTCAGCCTCTTTACAAATCAGTCCAGAAAGCAAATAAGCAAACCTTGATCCTTGCACCGATAACTTTCTTTTTCATATTATCCTCTTCAATTTCCCTTCTGACCTCCCTAACCTTTCCGTCGGCTTTGCCCAATAGACGGTCACGTTCCTCATAATCCAAAACAAACTCCTCTCGATCTAACCGCTCTAAAGAAGGTAATGAATCGTTTTTCGCTATCGCTTTTAATAGCCTTTCCCGTATGGTCTGAAGGCGGTTCTGAATGTCAACGTTCTGCATCGGATGGGGGATATTCTGCGTCGGTGTTGCCGATCGTGATGTAGCTATGAGAGACTCACTGGACGTATCCGCAACATCTGTAAGTGTCTAGCCAGTCAATTAGTGAACAACACTTCGACAATGCA